GAGCGGGGTGCTGAGCCCCGAGCTCAGCCCACCACCCGCTTCTGGTTGCAGCCTGGGCACCCCCCTCCAGCTGCAGGCGGGGGGGGATTTCTATGGGGCAGGGAACCCCGATGGGCCAGGGGCATGGGGGGGGGAAGGACCCTGGGTGCCCTGGGCGGCGTATCCTGGGCACAGTGGCTCGATGGTGTCTGCTCAGAGCCCAGGGGAAGGCAGCCGGGTGCCCATGGGGCTGGCCTCTGCCCCTGCTTCCTTTCCCCCAAGTGGGGGCAGGCTTTGTGCGGGTGTTTCCCTGCTCTCCGCAGGAGCCCAGCGTGCCAGGAGGGGCAGAGACTGGGGTGCCCGGGGGGGGAGACAGGGCAGGGTCTGGCCCTTTGCGGCGCGATGCCAGGGCTGCCATGCTGCCCGCTGTTGCTGGCAGGGTGCCAGGGCCCAGGACGACCCAGACCTCAGCAACCTGGTGGGACCTAGGGGGCAGAGCGAGGTAGGCGCCTGTGTGGGCTGCAGCTGACCAGCCCCTCTGTGCAGCGAAGGCACCCGCGGCTCCCCTGAGTGCACCGCAGCTCCGCGTGGGCCTGGGGCTGGACGGGTTTGCCTGGCCACAGACGTGGGGAGCGGGTCCAGCCCCCTGCACTGGGGGAAGCAGCCGCAAGTGCAGCCCAGGAGGAAGCAGCTTGTAGGGCACAGGTCTTGCTGGCTGGCACAGGGTTTGCAGGATGGGGGGACATTGGGAGGCACGGGGGAGCTGGGGGGCACGGGGGAGCTGGGGGGCACGGGGAACAGAGGTGCAGAGGAGGTGGGGGGCACAGGGACAGAGGCACGGGGGCATGGGGGGGACACCGGGGCAGAGGAGCGGAGGAGGTTGGGGCCATGGGGACAGAGGCGTGGGGGCACTGGGGGACACAGGGACAGAGACGCGGAGGAGGTGGGGGGCACGGAGACAGAGGCATGGGGGCATGGGGGGGACACAGGGACAGAGAAGTGGGTGGCATGGGGACAGAGGCACGGAAGTGCTGCCAGGGAATGGGCGGTTGTGGGAATACACAGGGTCACTCCAGGATTTCCCTGACGCTTGGCATCAACCCCTCTAATGGCAGCCGCCGTGTGAGGCCCGACTGCCAGCGACCGCGCAGGCCACGGAGTCCGGCGCCACCGCCAGAGCAGGGGCCTTGGCATGGCTGAGGAGGGGCTCAGCGCCCAGGATGTCATCTGCATGTCAGGGCAGGCTGTCACGGAGTCCCTGGGCGATGCTCTGGAACTGCTCCCCATGAAGCCAGTCAGGACTCTGGGGAAGTCTCCTCTCTGGGAGCAGCCTGTCTGCAGGACACACAGCTCCCCCGGCTTCCACCTTCCTGGGTCTGACCTCGGAGCAATCAGCCTCCTCTGCCCCTCCGTGCACCCAGGCGGGGTCCTGGGGAAGCCAGAGGGTCCTGCCCCCCAACTTCGCCATCAGACGGGACTCTCAGCCAGCCAGTAAAACAGAGGTTTATTAGACGACAGGAACATGGTCTAACACAGAGCTTGTAGGTGCAGAGAACAGGACCCCTTAGCTGGGTCCATTTTGGGGGGCAGTGAGCCAGACAACCACGTCTGCCCTTCACTCCATGTCCCAGCCAGCCCCAAACTGAAACTCCCTCCAGCCCCTCCTCCTCTGGGCTTTGTCCCTTTCCCGGGCCAGGAGGTCACCGGATTCCTTTGTTCTCCAACCTTTTAGCTCTCACCTTGCAGGGGGAAGGGCCCAGGCCATCAGTTGCCGGGAAACAGGGTGTCGGCCATTCTCTGTGTCCAGACCTCTGCACACACCTGCCCTCTAGGGCTCTGCAACGACCATACACCCTTATCTCACCACCTAGATACTTAAGAACTGCCTAGGGGAAACTGAGGCACCCCACACTATTCAGAGGAAACATTAAGAACTGTCCCGGTTCGTCACAGAGGCTCTGGGGGCACCTGGAGCCTCACGGGGGGTGGGCACCGCTGGGGGGCCCAGGGAGATGGACCCTGTGATGAAGCGGGGCTTTCCCCTTGTTATGTTGCATGTGAGTCTTACTCTTTGCAGGGATGCTGTATGTGACTTTTGCGGAGGCTGCTCCAGCTGCCTGTAAGGATGCTCTGGCCACCCCCTCATCACCTGAGACCCAGGAGGGGGATGTGAGCAGTTGACTCTTGGCCCAGGACGAAGGAGGAGCAACAGGCTGGGCAGGGGCCAGGCAGCTGGGAGGAGTCGGTCTTGTCACGGAGTGTGGGGGAGTCCAGGCCCTGCACCCCTCTTCCTGGGATTCACTGAGCCTCTCAGCCAGCCAGTAAAACAGAAGGTTTATTGGACAACAGGAACACAGTCCAAAACAGAGCTTGTGGGGTGCACCCAGGACCCCTCAGTCAAGTCCTTCTGGGGGAGCAGGGAGCTTAGACCCCAGCCCTGGGGTTCCCTGCGTTCCTCCACCCAGCCCCAAACTGAAACTAAACCCCCCCAGCAGGCCCCCTCCTGCAGCCTCTGTTCACATTCCTGGGCAGAGGTGTCACCTCCCCCTCCCGCTCCTGGCTCAGGTGACAGGCTCTCAGGTCTCCCCTCCCCAGGGCACATTCCCAGGTCAACACTCCCCCTCCCTGCTGCGTCACATCGCCACAGGTCTCCACTAGTTTGGGGCGCAGGGGGAGGGCAGAGCCCTGGCTCTGGGCTCCCTCCCTTCAAGGTGGGCTTGGCTGAAAGTCACTGATTTCTGTGCTAACAAGTTCTGCCCTACGCTGTGATCCTGTCAACTAATAAACTTCTGTTTTACTGGCTGGCTGAGAGTCACGTCTGACTGCGGAGTTGGGGGGCAGGACCCTCTGGCTTCCCCAGGACCCCACCTGGGGGGACTCGCTGTGGGAAGCGCAGGGAGGGGCAGAGGAGGCTGAATGCTCCGAGGTCAGACCCAGGAAGGTGGAAGCCGGGTGAGCTTCTTGCCCTGGAGACAGTCCGCTCCCGGAGAGGAGACCTCCCCAGAGTCCTGCCTGGCTTCGTAGGGAGCAGTTCCAGAGCATCGCCCGGGGACCCTGTGACAGACCCACAGTTGGACAACCGTGGGGCCAGGCCCATTGCCAGGTGCCCGGGCCCATGGGGAGGAGCCCAGGGCTGGGTTCTGGGGGCGCTGGCAGGCCCTCGGCGTCCCAAGGCTGCTGACATGAGCCCCTGGCTGGCCCGGGCTACGGGTTCCTCACAGGCCCCAGCGTCACCCACTGCCCTTGGAAGTGGCTATAAAACTCTACTGCTCCGTGGTGCTGACACTGCGGACCTGGGGGGGCGGGGGGGCTGCGTCTTGTGCCTGCCCTGACGCTCCCCTGGCGTCCTGCAGCCCCCGTGTCCCTTGCATCAGATGTGGCATCTCGTACAGGGCTGGGCGTCTGCAGGCTGGATGGGCCGCCAGTCCCCACACCCGAGGGCCGTGGCTGGTGTCTGGGGGCCACAGCTCAGCCGGGCCAAGCTCCCAGCCGGGCCCCGGGCCCCAAGGAGCCGAGGCCGCTCTGGGGCAGACTCCTGCGCTTTCCGGGCACTAGCAGTGAGCTGGGGAAGGGGATCTCAGCTTCCTTCCGCCACAGGAGAGGGGAGGCCAGGCCTTGCCCCACAAGGGGGGCTATTCGGAGTGGGGGGCGGAGCCCCCCCATGCCACAAGTTCTGCACAGATCCGCCTTGGCAGTGGGGCTGGTGTCCTGCGGGCGCTGAGCCGGGGCTGGCTCCTGCGTCACTCCAGGGCCGGGGTCAGGTTTGTGGAGCTGGCGGGGGCTGCTGCAGGCACAGTGCGGGGGGGGGGGGGGGGGGCGCGTCTCCCCGCTCATGGCACTAATTGCACACGGCCCCGCGCTGCCGGCCGCCCCCTCGGTCCAGCCCTGTTTGCTCGCTGCCGCCAGAGGAAATTGCTTGTGAGACACCCAGCACCTGCCCGCTCCGCACAGGCCCCTGGCAATGGGGGGGCTGGGGCCGCCGTGCTGCTCCCCCTCCCCGGCCAGGCCCACAGCTCCTTCCCAAGGGGGAGCCACCACCCCCACAGCCGGATACAACTGGGGGCCCAGCAGGCTCAGGAGGGCAAAGCCAGAGCCCTGCACCCCAGCGTGGGCAAGGTGAGCAGGACGGGAACGCAGGATGCCTGGCTTCCATTCCCTGACACCCCCCATGTGTTAATACCTCACAGCACTGACCCCAGGGTGGCGCTAGGGGGCGCTGGGGGGCAGGGAGAGGGCTGGGGGGGCTCAGCAGGGGGCGCTCTCCCCTGGCAGGCAGGGCTGCCCCCAGGCTGGGGCTAGGGGCCATGATGCCGGGAGCGGGGCAGGGGGGTGCGCTGGGGTGCTCTCCTGTTGCAGTCGCTGGGGCACTATCCAGTGTTGCCCTGGTTGGCGGAGGTGTCAGATCGGGGGTGGGGTGTGTGTGTGACAGGCCTGGCCATTGGGCCTGGGGGGGCTTTGATGGCTGGGGCCCCACCCCCTGTTTGTGACCAGGGCTCTGTGGGACGGGGGCCTGATGGCCCTCAGGGCTAGTGCAACTGGTGACACAATGGGGAGATCCCCCTCCCCCGGTGTTTTCTAAAGCCCAGCCCCCCACTCCGACCCCAGAACCACCCAGCCAGTGACACAGGAGGGTTTTTCACAGGCTTTTAACAAAATTACAAACAAAATTCCATTATTCTGGGAACATAGAAAACCTGAGGGAAGGGGGCCAGGAACGCAGGGTCTCTGGCCGGGGGAAAGGGGGCCAGGAACGCAGGGTCTCTGGCCGGAGGAGAGGGGGCCAGGAACGCAGGGTCTCAGGCCGGGGGAAAAGGGGACAGGAACGCAGGGTCTCGGGCTGGGGGAGACGGGGCCAGGAACGCAGGGTCTCGGGCCGGGGAAGAAGGGGCCAAGAACGCAGGGTCTCGGGCCGGGGGAGAAGGGGCCAAGAACGCAGGGTCTCGGGCCGGGGGAGAGGGGGCCAGGAACGCAGGGTCTCGGGCCGGAGCGGTCTGGGCCGGGGGGGGGGGCCAGGAACGCAGGGTCTCGGGCCGGGGGAGACGGGGCCAGGAACGCAGGGTCTCGGGCCAGGGGAGAGGGGGCCAAGAACGCAGGGTCTCGGGCCGGGGGAGACGGGGCCAGGAACGCAGGGTCTCGGGCCGGGGAAGAAGGGGCCAAGAACGCAGGGTCTCGGGCCGGGGGAGACGGGGCCAGGAACGCAGGGTCTCGGGCCGGGGGAGAGGGGGCCAGGAACGCAGGGTCTCGGGCCAGGGGAGAAGGGGCCAGGAATGCAGGGTCTCGGACCGGGGCAGAAGGGGCCAAGAACGCAGGGTCTCGGGCTGGGGGAGAGGGGGCCAGGAACGCAGGGTCTCGGCCAGCGGAGAAGGGGCCAGGAACGCAGGGTCTCAGGCCAGGGGAAAGGGGACCAGGAACGCAGGGTCTCAGCGAGGGGAGAAGGGGCCAGGAACGCAGGGTCTTGGCGAGGGGAGAAGGGGCCAGGAATGCAGAGTCTCGGCTGGGGGAAATCAGTTGCTGATGACACCATGTCCTGGAGGTCTCACTCGTGGGCTCCTCCTGCATGGCTCTCAGTGCTGACCTGGCGTGGGGAGAGTGGGAATCAGCACCTGCCCCCTCCGCTGGAGTCCCCTGGGCTGGCACTGGCTGAGATCCCAGAGGGTCAGGCCTGGTGCTGGGCTGAGCACATGGAAGGGGCTCTGGGGGGCAAGGGCTGGAGGCTCCCATCCCAGCCAGGCCAGGGCAGGGTCTGGGCAGGGTCTGGGGCAGGCCTGTCCTGACATTCGGGGCTACAGGGCTCTCCCCTGGCTGGTTCCTAAGCGTCCGAGCAGCCAGGCCTCTGGCTCCCCGGGAGACACACCCCCGGCTGCACCCATCTCCCTGCTGGGGAGTTTGCAGTTCCACCCACTCAACCTGTAGCCCCCCTTTCCCCATGGCCTTTGCCATCTTATCAGCTCCTGCCCCCAACTACACCCTCCCCTGTGGGTTGGGACCTCCAGCTGGACGTCAGCTGCCCGCAGTGTAGGGCCCCCCACCCCCAGGCTGGCCCAGCTGCGCCTCAGCCCAGTGGGGGCCTGGCCGGGAATGGCACTTACCATGCGGGGAGCTCGATGGCTTCTGCCTGGGCCCCACTGCTAGGGAGGGAGAACGAGAGGGCGGGTGAGCTGGAGAGGGAGGCTGCCTGCATCTGCCCCTCCCTGAATATTCCCCCTCTGCCCCCGCTGCCCAGCACCCAGACCCAGTCAGTGGTGGGCCAAGAGTGGGGCCCAGCAGTGTGGGAGCGAAGGTGCGTGGGGCCCTGGGCTCAGGCCTGCATGGCCTCCAGCCAGACCCCCAGTGTAGGCCGCGCCTGCCCCTCCCACCTCCCTGTGGCCCAAGTCGCAGCCTCTGACCCGTGCGGGCCCCAGGGCTGTCAGGCTGGGACTAGGGGGCATTTCTTGTAATATTTTATGAGCCCTGTGTGTGCCTCAGTTTCCTCTCTGTGCTGCATCATTACTGAGCGGGTGGATGTGACGAAGTGGGACTGTTCTTAATGGTTACTCTGAACAGTGTGGAAGTGCCTCAGTTTCCCCTAGGCAGTTCTTAAGTATCTAGGGGGTGGAGTAAGGATGTATGATGGTTGCGGAGCCCTAGCGGGCAGGTGTGTGCAGGGGTCTGGACACAGAGAATGGCCGACACCCTGTTTCCTGGCAACTGATGGCCTGGGCCCTTCCCCCCTGCAAGGTGAGAGCTAAAGGGTTGGAGAACAAAGGAATCCGGTGACCTCCTGGCCCGGGAAAGGGACAAAGCCCAGAGGAGGAGGGGCTGGAGGGAGTTTCAGTTTGGGGCTGGCTGGGACATGGAGTGAAGGGCAGATGTGGTTGTATGGCTCCCTGCCCCCCAAAATGGACCCAGCTGAGGGGTCCCGTTCTCTGCACCTACAAGCTCTGTGTTAGACCATGTTCCTGTCGTCTAATAAACCTCTGTTTTACTGGCTGGCTGAGAGTCACGTCTGACTGCGGAGTTGGGGGGCAGGACCCTCTGGCTTCCCCACGAGCCCCGCCTGAGCAGACTCGCTGTGGGAAGCACATGGAGGGGCAGAGGAGGCTGAATGCTCCGAGGTCAGACCCAGGAAGGTGGAAGCTGTGTGAGCTGTGTGTCCTGCAGACAGGCTGCTCACAGAAAGGAGACTGTCCCAGAGTCCTGACTGGCTTCATGGGGAGCAGTTCCAGAGCATCGCCCAGGGACTCCGTGACATTGGAAAAGGGCTGTGTGCTCTCAGGGCAGGGGGAGAACTGCCCAGGCCCCCTACCAGAGGCAACAGTGGCAGCTCCAAGGGGGAGAAGATCATGTCCCACCTCTCCACAGGGCAGCTGAACACCACTCCCCAGCAGAGAGCAACAGGCAGGCGGGGGGATAAGCGTTGGCTGCTGGAAGCACTGCCCGGGGCTCGGACCAAGGAGCGAGCCGGAGCCAGACAGAGCTTGAACCCCGGGGGTCGCTGCGGCTGGGCTGGGCGCTGGCTGCCCAGAACGGACTCTGCTGGAACCACTTCTCTGTGTGCCAGGCCACTGATACACCCGCCTGTCTGCCTGCGCTGGCTGGGTGTCCCTGCAGACGCTGGAGGGGGGGTGCTGCTCCCCCAGATGGGACACATCTCCCCAGGGTCTGAACTTGCTACCTGGAGCTCCCGGGGTGGGGCAGGGGGCTGCAGGCCCAGGGGCCCAGTCTCAGGAGGTGATGAGGCCTCGTGGCTCACCCTGGCGGAAGAGCGAGACCCCAGGGGGGTCTAGGTCACCGAAGGGCTCCTCCCTGAGACTGTTCACAGGCTGGGGCCGGCCCTGGGGGTCCATGACAGTGTGACATTGTGAGTGTAATATAATAGCTCATGGAAAGGTGACAGGGCCAGAAAGAGTTAATGAACTCCCAGACTGACCTGACCCAGGGCCGGACTGTAAAGACTGGTTAGGAGGATCTGTAAATGAACAGAGCTGTGAAATGCAGCCGGCATTGTGAGAGAGAGAAGGGGAGCTGTGTGCTCAGGTCTTGTGATGTCAGCAAACAAGTCTTGTCTATGGCTCTGGCTTTGATTCAAAGATCAAAAGAGGAATATTAACATTTAGGAAGACACTGGAGTGACATAGTATTACTGTCTATATGGCTCTTTGAAGGTTGTGGTAACCGGTATCTGAACTGTTCATGGATAAATGACCCTGGGCTAATTGCCAGGATGTTTGGGAGAAGGAAAGAGAAGCCGATTATTTTCTCAGGCCAAGGGGCTGCTGGAAATGTATAAATACCCTGGGACACGATCCTTCTTCATCTCCAATCTGCTTTGGGTTTCAGGAGGGGGAAACCCTGAGCCTTAAGGATTGAGATCCCCAGTCACTGACTGGAGTCACCCTGAACATGGACATTGGACTGTAACCCGTGGACTATTTCTAAAAGGACTTTTGGCAACTACAGACTCACCATCTCTGCTCTGTATCTGAACCTCAAGAACTGAACTCAAGTCTGTCGGTATACTGATCTTTTAACCAGCACGCGCTCTCTTTTCTTTTTTTTAATACATTTTAGTTTAGTTACTAAGGATTGACTGTAAGTGTGTATTTGGGGTAAGATCTAAGTTTTATATTGACCTGGGTCTGGGGCTTGGTCCTTTGGGGTCAGGAGAACCTTTTCTTTTCTATGATGAAATAAGATTTTCAGAATTTAGCATCCTATGTTTGACGTGTGTGTCTGGATGGAGGCCTGCGGCTGGGCACTTTAAGGGCACTGCATTGTTTGGATGTCTAAGTACCCAGGGAGGTGCTGGAGAAGCTGGTTTGGGCTGGCTGGGTAACTCTAAGGAGTGGAATATCCACCAGCGTTTGGGGTTTGCCCGCCCCGGTCTGTCTGCAGTTCACCCTGACTGAGTGACCTCAGCTGGCTCCCACGGGCAGCCCCGTCACAGACAGACATGCCCCTGCCGAGATCGGCCGACCGGCCCCAGCACTAAGAGCCCGGGGGTGAGATCAAGAACTGGAGAGGGGTCAGGGAAGAGCCGTGGGAATGATCGAAGGGTTAGAAACCTGCCTCAGTGACACGCCAGGAGCTCAAATGAGACAAAGGGAGGGTCTAAGGGGTGATGTGATCCCAGCCTAGAGCAGTGGCTGCTTCTCCACCTTTGTGGGCTCAAGGCCCATCTGTGAATGTCGCGACCCAGTAACTAGTCTGGGGGTGGGGGCCCTGGGGTGGTTTTGAACAGGTCCTGCCCCTTCAGGGGGCTTGGGTCCTGCCCAGCTCCTGTGCTATGCGGGGGTTGGGCTTGGCTCTCTGCCCTGGGCCTTGCACCTCGGGGTGGCAGGGCCGCTCAGGTTTGGCCCCGCCCAAACTGGCGTGAGTGGAGCTGTGCCCTGGATCACGGGGATGGCAGCACCAGCCACTGGAACCCGGCCTACCCTGACTGCCGTCGTCATGACGTCTGGGCCAAACCTGAGTGGGGCAGGGACCCGAGGTGCCGGAACGGGAAGTGAACGAGCCTGGCCTGTCCGCTTTTCGCCCCCGCCCCCGCGAAGCCTGCCCCCAAGCTGGAAGCTGGAGCCCGGGCCGGGGAAAAGCAGCCCGTGGAGCCCAGGCAGCTGTGGAGAGCCACGGACCTGCTGCCTGCCCGGGGCAGGGACGGGGGCCGAGAGCAGCCCCTGGCCCATGTCCCCGCCCCATGGTCCGGCTGCGGCTCTTGGGCCCCAGAGGACCCGCCCCCCGGCCAGGCTGGAAGCCGGAGCCAGGTCAGGGTAAGAGCCACGGACCCTCCACCTGCCCTGGGCGGGGGGCCCGGGGGTCGGGGATACAGGCTACAGGCTGCTCTTGGCTCCCCCACCCTGGGCAGGTGAAGGGGCCCAGCCTCCCTGGCCCAGCTCCAGCTTCTGGCTTGGCCGGGGGGGCCTCGGGGGAAGAGGAGGGGCAGGGGCGGGGCCATGGAGGGGGCCTCGTGGCCCCCCCACCTTTAGGAAGACTCGTAGCCCCTGGCAGGGAGGGACCAAGAGGTTGCAGTGCCTGGAGCAGGGATGGGAGCACAGCCAGCCCCGTGGGACAGGAGCTGCCATACGACCCTGCGGCACAGCCTGGGGCCGACTGTGGGTCCCGACCCCAGGTGGAGAAGCCCTGCTCTGGCAGCACCTCCATGGGAACAAGCCTTGACCAGGTGCTCTGCGGGCAGGTGGAGGAAGGGCGAAGCGGGACAGATTCCCACTGGCGATGGGGGTCGGCGTTTAACGGGGAGGTAATTAGCCATTGGACAATCAGTGCATCCGGCTCTGCTCTGGGGCAAGTCTCGGGCCCGGGTCGGACAGGGGGCAGAGCACATGGTCATGGGCCTTGCTAGCCGGGGCTCTGGGGGTCTCTGAACAGCAGGAGGAGGCTGTTACCCGCGTGTGGCCCGGGGGGACTGTCCCTCACCCCAGTCACTCACCTTCGGCCTCCTCTAGCGCCTCTGGCCCCTCTGGCCTGTCCTCGTCGGCTCCAGCATCTCCTCCATCCCCGCCTGCAAACCCGTCCGAGTCGTCCTCACCCAGCGAGTCTGGGAGAGCGAGGGAATCCCAGAGTCAGCAACCGCACCGGGGGGGGGCCAAGCCTGCCCCACCCTCCCCACTGAGGGTCCCTGGCCAGGCCTCCCCAGAGAGCCCAGCAGGGCAGAGGCCTGGAGCAGCCAGAAGGGAGGCTCTGGCCATGCCACCTGCACCCAGCTCAGCCAGTCCTGGGGTCCCTGCCAGGCATCCTGCCCCCAGCACATAGCCAGCTGCGCGTGGAGAGGGGCAGAAGCCAGGACCCACTGCTGGGGAGGGGCCGTGCTGGCAGCCGCCCCAGGAGGCTGAGATCAGTGCTCTGCCACCCCCTTCTGTACCCCAGCCCCCCACCTGCAAGCCAGCCACACCCCCTTAGGGAGCCCGTACACCCTGGGCCCCACACCCCTCCCCGGGGGGTCCCTGATACAGCTAACGCCAGCCCTGCCCCCGCCTCGTTGCATGTCAGACAGACACACAGATGGACATGTGGGCTGAGGAGCAGCTCTGCCCACCCCACACAGCACCCAGGACAGGGGCTCACACCATGGCCCCAGGGCGACCTGCCGGTGCCAGACCCCCCTCGCCCTGCAGCGCCCCTGGGTCACCTGTCTGAAATTCGATGGTTCTCAGCATCTCGGCCAGGTAGTCCACATTGACAAAGAAGTGGTCCATCTTCTCGTAGCCAGGCTCCGGGCGGCTGCTCATCGACACCTTCGACATGTCTGTGATCCTGCCAGGCAGAGCCAGGGGCATCTCAGCCTCACAAATCTGGCCTGACTTCTTCCTTCAGAGCCATTGCAGAGCACCGGGCCTGTGACTCCACAACACCCCCGCACAGCCCGACCAACCACCCCACTCTGGGATTGGGGGCCCTGGCTGAGCTGTGTGTGGGGAGCCCAGGGCTGGGGCAGCAGAGGGCTGCGGGGTGGGATTGGGGCACCGGCAGAGCTGGGGAAGCGGAGCCCAGGGCTGGGGTAGCCAGGGGGCTGTGGGGAGGGATTGGGGGCACTGGCCGAGCTGGGGGAGGGGAGCCCAGGGCTGGGGCAGCAGGGGGCTGCGGGTCAGGATTGGGGGCACTGGCAGAGCTGGGGGAGGTGAGTCCAGGGCAGGGCTGGCAGGGGGCTGTGGGGCAGGATTTTTGTGCTCACACCCTCCCACAGATACAGGCAGCGCCTCATGGGATCCCAGCCAAGGTCCGTCCAGCCCAGTGTCTCATCCCCAACAGCAGCGCAGGCTGCTGGGGGCAAGTGTGTGAGAGCCCCATGGCAACTGCTGTGGGACAACCTGCCTGTGAGGACGTGGGGATATTTTGTAATATTTTTATGAAGCCTATGTGTGCCTCAGTTTCCCCTCTATGCTGCATTGTTACCCAGGATGGGGGAGGCTGGGCACCTCTAGGCAGGCTCAGGCACAGATGGGAATGGCACCCAGGTGTCTGGGACTCCATGGGTCATTGGGAAAGGACTGGCTGAAGCCAACCTCATATCAATGGAGAATCTATGGCAACAATGGCAAATCTAATTGCCAGGAATGGACACCTGGCCCCACCTCTCGGCAGGAGATGAGAAGCATCCCCCCACCTGGAGAATGAAGGGCTGGGAGGTGCGAGGCGGGTGATAAGAGCTGGGGGCTGGAAGGAGTCGGGCTCTCGCCTGGAGTCTGACCAAGGAGGTTGGATGGAGAGACAGACAGAGCGTGAACCATGGGGGTCACTGCAGCTGGGCTGGGCTGTAACCGTCAGTTCTCTGGGCCGCCCGGGGGGCTGCCTGGGCCATGCGCCAGGTGACCAATAAACCCACCTGGTTTCACAGCGCTGGGCGAGTGGCCCTGCAGACACTGGGCGAGGGGCAGTGATCCCTGAGGAGAGGACACGTCTCCCCCAGGGTCTGTCCCAGACTCGCTGCCCAGGGCTCCCAGGGTGGGGCAGGGGGCTGCAGCCCCAGGGGCCCAGTCTCAGGAGGCGGTGAGACCACGTGGCTCACCCTGGGGGAAGAGCGAGACCCCGGGGGTCTGGGTCACTGCAGGCCCCTCCCAGAGACTGCTCCCAGGCTGGGGGCTTAGCACCGGCCCCGTGGATCCATGACTCTGCCCAAAGGACCCCTGACCCCTACAGAGATGGGCTCCAACCGGAGGTTTCTCTCTCCTGTTGTCTCCCCCCCAGACTTACTTTTTAAGCAGCTCCTTGGATTGCTGCAGGGAGGGAGAGGCAGAGAGCTTGGTTAGCAACAGCACCTGCTCCTGGAGCCCAGCCCCCACCAGCCCCTGAGCCCAGGGCCCTGTTCGACCAGCCTGCAGGCTGGCGCTGGCCTTGGCCCCAGCTCTGGCTGGGGGCAGGCTCAAGACCACGTTTCCTTTCCAAGCAGCCTGCAGCATGATCCGCCCTCGGGCTTTACCACTCAGCCAAGCAGGACCTCCTGGCTGGGGGCAGAGAGGCAACCACAGGCGCCCGTGGCCTAGCAGGCCCCTGCCCCCGAGCCCTTGGCCCAGGCCCTTATTCCGGGAGGATGGTGCCCACGGCGTGGCCAGGTACCAGTGTGGAGAAGCCCCTCCCCTGCCCTCCCCTGCCTGCCCAGACGCCCCCGCCCCGCACAGACCTGCAGGTACGCGGCCATCTGGGGCTCCTCCATGGCCTGGATGGCCGACTCCACCAGCTTGGAGGCGATCTCCAGGTGCTCCCCGTACTGGCGGATGAGGGAGCGCACGTGGCTCACCCGCTCCTCCTGCTCCCGGCTGATGCGTTGCACCAGCTCCTTCTTACGCTCCTCCAGGGAGCTGCACAGGGAGTCGAAGCGCTGGCAGAGATGCTGCTTCTGCCGCCGACTGTTCTCCTGCGGGGGGAGCCGCCCCCACGTCACTGCAGGGGCTCGGGGCCACCCCTCCTCCAGCCCCCGCCCGGTCCCCTGACCTCCAGGAAGAGCAAAGGGGCCAGGGCTCCGGGGTTCTCTCCCCAGCTCCGGGAGAGGAAGGGGTCGAGCGCCGGGCCAGGAGCCGGGACTTGCGGGCTGGATTAGCCATCAGGTCACGGATGCGCTGTGGCCGTTCCCTTCTGGTCTCCAGAGTCAGGAGATCACCCCCCTGAGCCCTGTGCTGCTCTGGCCTGAGACCCCCCCCCAGCGATTCCTGCATCAAGCCCCACCATGGGCCCAGCGGGTCCAGTACAGATGCCTGGCCTGTGACAAAGTGGAAATGTTCTTAATGTTTTCTCCAAATACTGTGTGTGCCTCAGTTTCCCCTGTGTGTTATTCGAGTATCTAGGTGGAGGGATAAGGATGTGTGATCATTGCAGAGGCCCCTCAATGGCAGGTCTGGCTGAACAGAACAGGGAATCATCAAGTGATCCATCCCCTGTCACCCATTCCCAGCTCCTGACAAACAGAGGCTAGGGACACCATCCCTGCCCATCCTGGCTGCCTGCGCCCAGAAACAGCTGACACTGTATCCTGGCAATTGATGGCTGGGCCCCCTCCTCTGCAGCAGGCAGGCGGAGGAGTTGGTGTAGCCCAGGTGACCTGCTTGCTGGGGAAAGAGCCAAATGACGGAGGAGCAGCAATGGGGGTGAGGAGACCAGGCAGCTGGAACTAATCAGTCTCATGCTTTGAGCCTCAGAGGGGAGAGTCCAGGGCGCTAAGCCCTGGATCCCACTAAGATGGACTTTGCTGCTGTAAGCAGGGTCTGGATGATTTCTCCCGACAGCCAGCAGAGAGTGGGAGAGACTTCAGGGGCAAACCGTATTTACAAGAACACACCTACTCTGCGTCGGTATCCAGCAGACAGACCTGTGCTGCTCAAAGTGATCAGCTTTGTCCGGCGTTGGGTACAAATCATGTTACTACTGAATGCAGGGGGACTGACATGCTGTTGTTTTTTGCCCCCCGATCAGCTTTTGTGCCTTGGCGTTGGGGCCCCCCCCGTACAAATCATGTTACTACTGAATGCAGGGGGACTGACATGCTGTTGTCTTTATTGTATGAATAAAGAGGAGCAGAGCTGTGCTTAACCTGTCCTGATTGAGGGGTCACCCTCAGCTGAAAGCACCTCGTTAAGCCAGGAGCTCGAATGCCAGGAAGATAAGAGGGGTGGGGACAGGTGTTTGTGGCCTTTTTGGAGGGGGTGGTGGGGGGGTTTCCCCTCTCCCTCCTTTTGCTTAAAAGTGAGAGAAATGGGTTTTGTTAGGATCTTTTGGTTAAGTAAATTGAAAAAAGGGGAAAAAGTTGTTGGGGGGGGGGGGTTTTTTTTTGTGAGGAGGGGGGATTGTTTTTAATATGTTTCCTCTGAATAGTGTGGGGGGTGCCTCAGTTTCCCCTAGGCAGTTCTTAAGTATCTAGGGGGTGGGGTAAGGGTGTATGATCATTGCAGAGCCCTAGAGGGCAGGTGTGTGCAGGGGTCTGGACACAGAGAATGGCCGACACCCTGTTTCCTGGCAACTGATGGCCTGGGCCCTTCCCCCCTGCCCCCCCCAAGGTGAGAGCTGAGGGTTGGAGAACAAAGGAATCAGGTGACCTCCTGGCCCGGGAAAGGAACAAAGCCCAGAGGAGGAGGGGCTGGAGGGGGTTTCAGTTTGGGGGCTGGCTGGGACATGGAGTGAAGTGCAGACCTGGTTGTCTGGCTCACTGCCCCCCAGAATGGACCCAGCTGAGGGGTCCTGTTCTCTGCACCTACAAGCTCTGTTTTAGACCATGTTCCTGTCGTCTAATAAACCTTCTGTTTTACTGGCTGGCTGAGAGTCACGTCTGACTGTGGAGTTGGGGTGCAGACCCTCTGGCTTCCCCACCTAGCGGACTCTGGGGAACGCACGGAGAGGCAGAGGATGCTGTTAGCGAGCCAGGAAGGTGGAAGTGTGTGAGCTGCCTAAGACAGGCTGCTCACAGAAAGGGACTACCCCAGGTCCTGACTGGCTTCATGGGGAGCAGTTCAGAGCACCCCAGGGACTCCGTGACAGAGGGGGTGGAGGGTGAGAAAACCTGGATTTGTGCTGGAAATGGCCCACCTGTTGATCACTTTAGATAAGCTATTACCAGCAGGACAGTGGGGTGGGAGGAGGTATTGTTTCATATTCTCTGTGCGTATATAAAGTCTGCTGCAGTTTCCACGGTATGCATCCGATGAAGTGAGCTGTAGCTCGCGAAAGCTCATGCTCAAATAAATTGGTTAGTCTCTAAGGTGCCACAAGTCCTCCTTTTCTTGTTGCAAGATGTGACAATGTGACGCAGCAGGGAGGGGGGACTGTTGACCTGGGAATGTGCCCTGGGGATGGGAGACCTGAAAGCCTGTCACCTGAGCCAGGAGGGGGCGGGGGAGGTGACACCTCTGCCCAGGAATGTGAAGACAGGCTGCAGGAGAGAGCCTGCTGGGGGGGTTTGGTTTCAGTTTGGGGCTGGGTGGAGGAACACAGGGAACCCCAGGGCTGGGGTCTAAGCTCCCTGCTCCCCCAGAAGGACTTGACTGAGGGGTCCTGGGTGTACCCCACAAGCTCTGTTTTGGACTGTGTTCCTGTTGCCCAATAAACCTCCTGTTTTACTGGCTGGCTGAGAGTCTCAGTGGATCCCAGGAAGAGGGGTGCAGGGCCTGGACTCCCCCACACTCCGTGACAACAGGTGGTAGCGGTGGGATGTACTGCACCCCGTGAACGGCGCTTCCTGCAGTAAGTGACTGGGGAATAGTAAAACGAAGGGGGATTGACGGGGACCAGGCATGCTGAAGAGTCAGAGAGAGACGGTTCCAGGGGGCGGTTAACCCCTGGGAGTGTGTGACCAAAGAGAAGGACTTTTGCAGTAACAGGGTCCCCCGGGGGATCGCAGCGAGCGGTCCCAGGGACGGAGGTTCTGCAGCTCGACCCTGGCAAAGAGGTGGTGACCTCAAGAAGGACTGGCACACGAGGGGTTTTTCTTGGAAACCGTGGAAAGCTGCCCGGCCTGCGAGTGGCCAGCAGGGAGATGTACGCTAAACGCCTTAAGAGCGACCTGGTGGAGCTGTGCAGGCAGAGGGGGCTGCGCATCGGGAGGTCCACCAAGGCACAGCTGATTGCCCAGCTGGAGGAGAGGGATCGCTTGGATGACCCGATCTCTGTCCCTGAGGGAAGCCGCCCGGCGGACGCAGCGTGGGCCCTGGGACCTGACCGGGCTGGGAGGGGTCAGACTGCTGCCCAGGACACCCCGAGACCCTTCCTACCTAGGCCTGGGGGAGGGGTTGGGGGAAGCCCGGCGAATACCAAGGGCACCCTGACCCCGGCACCCAGCAGGGGATCCTCCCAGCAGAGCTCCCCATCCCTGGAGTGGATGCGGCTGGAATGGGAGAGGGAGATGAAAATGAGGGAGCTGGAGGATCATGAAAAACAACATCAACATGAGGAGAAACAACGTCAACATGAGCAGGAGGAGAAGGAGAAACAACGTCAACATGAGCAGGAGGAGAAGAAGAGGGAGCGTCAGGAGAAGGAGAAACAAAGACAGCATGAACTGGAGCTGGCCAGGCTGAGGAGCAGTGGGGCCCCGGCTGCGGTGAGTGTGGGGGGACCCAAGACTGCAAGGAACTTTGATAAGTGCTTCCTGGCCCAGCGAAGGAGGGGGAGGACATAGATAGCTTCCTGACGGCCTTTGAGAATGCCTGTGAGACGCACAGGGTTGACCCTGCAGACAGGCTCCAGTTTCTCACCCCCTTACTGGATCCCAAAGCCGTGGAGGTGTACAGCCGAATGACAGGGGCGGAGGCAGGGGACTATGAACTATTCAAACAGGCCCTGCTCCGTGAGTTTGGGCTGACCCCCAAGATGTACCGGAGAAGGTTCCGGAGTCAGCGTAAAACGCCTGAGCTCACCTACCTACAACTGGTCAACTGGATGCAGGGATATGCCCACAAGTGGACAGCTGGGGCCCGAGCTAAAGAGGACCTGCTTGACCTAATTGTACTGGAGCAACTGTATGAACAGTGCCCTTCCGACCTGAGGCTGTGGTTGGTGGACAAAAAGCTAGAGAACCCCCAGCACGCAGGGCAGCTGGCCGACGAGTTTGTGAACAGTCGGTCAGGGGGTAGCCGGGAGGAGTCCCAAAAGAACAGGCCCCCCCGATGCAGAGAGAGAGTCACCATGGGGCCCCCTAGCGGGGAAATAGGGAGAACCCCCTCCCAAGGGGAACGCCTGGCGTCGGGCCCCTCCGACCTGCTCGAGGGGACCAACGTGACCTGAGCTGCTATCACGGTGGCCAGAGAGGCCACGTACGGACAGAGTGCCACGGGCTCAAGGACAGACTGAGCAGACCCAACCTACCCAGGATTAACTGGGTAGGGACTCAGCTGGACAAGGGGCAGACGACCCAGGCAAGGGGGGCTGCCAGTTTACCACCTGCTCAGGAGGGAAGAGTACCCCAGGCCAGCTCCGCCAGAGGGCCGGAGGCTCTGGACTCAGGGTGCTCGGTTTACAGGGTGGGCGCGGGGCTGTCCCTCCGGAGAGAGTGCCTTGTTCCCCTGGAGGTGGATGGGAGGAAGGTCAATGGATACTGGGATACGGGCGCGGAGGTGACGCTGGCCCGGCCCGAGGTGGTGGCCCCAGATCGGGTGGTGCCCAACACCTACCTGACCCTGATGGGGGTGGGCGGGACCCCATTTAAGGTGCCCGTGGCAAGGGTACACCTGAAATGGGGGGCCAAGGAGGGCCCCAAGGATGTGGGGGTACACCACCATTTGCCCACTGAAGTTTTGATGGGGGGAGACCTAGAGGACTGGCCAAGCAAGCCCCAGACCGCCCTGGTTGTGACCCGTAGCCAGAGCCGGCGAGGGGCACTGCACCCTGACCTTGGGGAGGGTACCACACCAGAGGCGCAGGACCCTACCCTGG